GAACTCGTGTGTCTAGTGGTTTATGGTAGCAGAGCCGAGCCAAACGATCCATTCATTGTCGCATTTGGAACAACGCTCGGTTTGCTACCCATGAAGAACGTTGAGTTGCCAATCATTTGTTGGTCGTTAGGGCAATGCGGATTGCTGCATCCCTACATGGGCAAATGTTGCGATGTCCAATGAATACATGCGGGCGTTGGGGCAGTGCCCGATTTGCTGGCATTCCTACCCGCAGAAAAAGTGATCGTGGGCGTTGGGGCAATGCCCGTTTTGCAGGCATCCCACCCATGGAAAAAGAAATTGCCAATTACGTGGGCGTTGGGGCAATGCCCGATTTGCTGGCCTACCCACCGAACATGAAACTACCAATTATGTGGGCGTTGGGGCAATGCCCGATTTGCTGGCATTCCTACCCACGAAAAAATGAAAGTACCAATTATGTGGGCGTTGGAGCAATGCCCGATTTGCTGGCATTCCTACCCACCGAACATTAAACTACCAATTATGTGGGCGTTGGGGCAATGCCCGATTTGCTGACAGAACATGAAATTACCAATTATGTGGGCGTTGGGGCAATGTCCTATTTGCTGGCATCCCTACCCGCAGAAATATGTCGCAATTACCAGTCGTGTTCTGCCTACAGAAAATGTTGCAAGTACCAGTGTTGTCGGCATTGGGGCAACGCTCGAGTATGGTGGCATTCCTACCCGCAGAAAACGTTCTAAATACCAGTTGTGTGGGCTTTTTGAGGCAATGTTCGATTTGCTGGCGTCCCTACGCACAGACGTTGTGAATACCAGTTGTGTGGGTGTCGTAATGGAATATGTTGGCATTGTATAGCTGCCAACCATTTGCGAGAGCTTTGGGGATTCGCGGCTTTCTGCGAAGCAGCGCCGCCGAAGGCGTGATGGATGCTTTGTGATCTTTTTTGTGAGCCTGCTTGGTGCGGAAGCTCTGTGTGTGCAGGCTCATGAAACGCGTGAAGAAACTGTCGGTGGCAGACATTTCTGAGATTTTGGCGCTGAAGCACTCATCTACGTGATGTTTTCTTGGTCAAATGCCATGCATGACGTGAGTGCACTGGACAGGACACGCTTTAGTTGGCTCGCACGCTAGAGGCGGAGAGCGCGACATTTCGAACACTGTCTGGAAGAGTGCTGGAGCGAGAAGCGAGCGCCGGCTTGCATGTTCTGTTGCTTCGTAGCAACGTGATTGCGCTGTTCAAGTTGAAATGCTCATGTTGTTGCTTGCTGCAAGTTTTCGGCTGTTGGGTGACCGCTTGAGTGGGAACTGCTGCAGGCATGTTTAGCTGTGCAATCAAGCAGTCGATGTCTTGTGATGCGTGTGAACTGCAGGTGCGCATTTGCCCATGTTGCTTAGCGCTTGGTTTTGATGTGAGTCCTGGTACTAGGAAGTCGGGCGATGTGTTTTGGGGAGGGTTTGGGCATGCATTGGGGCCTTTTTTAACTACACAATCCAAACAGGAGGGGGGTGTCCGGGGCGGTGTGGGCGGTGGGGGCGGCGTGTTTGGGGAAGACGGTGCGGGCGGCGTGTCCGGGTGCTTTCAGTGGCTTTCAGGGGCTTCCAGAGCCTTCTCTAACCATTCCGTGCTGGGAGCGAGGAACCTCGCATCGCGCCCAGACAGAAACCTGACAGCGATCTTCCTTTTGTTTTGCCTGTTGGGACAACCGCAATCTCCTTTTTGTAACTCTTCGTCTCATCCTACACGGGTTGAATCTTTGAAGTTTTGATTTTTTTCGTCGCGGCGGAGGATTCCAGGGCCTTTCAGGGGCTTTGCGGACCATCCCGTGCGTTTTGGAGGGAGGTTTTGGAGGGAGGAAGGGCCACAAGATATCCAAGCTGTATCACGCCCCAAAAGGGCCCAGGCAGAGGCCTGACACCACGATTTTGCCTTTGTTTTTGCCCTCTTGGGCAAGCTCAATGGCCATGTTGTGACTCTTCATGTCATCCTGAACCCCACCAAAGCAGGTCGACCGTTCAAAAGGGGCTGAATCTATGAAGTTTTGATTTTTTTTCGTCGTGGCGGAGGATTCCAGGGCCTTTCAGCGGCTTTCAGGGCCTTTTCGGACCATCCCGTGCGTTTTGGAGCGAGGAAGGGCCTCAAGATATCCAAGCTGTATCACGCCCCAAAAGGGCCCAGACAAAGGCCTGACACCACGATTTTGCCTTTGTTTTTGCCCTCTTGGGCAAGCTCAATGGCCATGTTGTGACTTTTCATGTCATCCTAAACCCCACCAAAGCAGGTCGACCGTTCAAAAGGGGCTGAATCTATGAAGTTTTGATTTTTTGTTCGTCGTGGCGGAGGATTCCAGGGCTTTTCAGGGGCTTTCAGGGCCTTTTCTGACCATAGTGAGGAAGGGCCTCAAGATATCCAAGCTGTATCACGCCCAAAAGAGCAGTGTTTGTTTCACGCGGCGCGCCGTTGGGTGTGGTACACGTCCCAGTTTGTGCGTGTCATCCTTGTGCGTGTCATCCTTGCAACGGGGCCGTGCAGCGGGAGAGGCCTTGTCGGCAGCTTTGTTTGTGGGAGGTCACGGCGCCATGAGCAACACTGAGGCCAGAAATGGGTGTCTCAAGGAACCGCGCTTGTGGGGACACGCTTAAGTGCCCAAGCAGTATGCGAATGATTGCCCCTTGTTCCTACGTGGCAAAACAGAGTCCGAGTGCTTTCTAGTTTGCTTGTGAGCGCGAGTTTATATATTCCCGATGTGGATTGATGAGTTCACTCTTTGCCAATACATTTGCTCAAGTTTTACGATTGCAGTTTTGTAAATCGATAAGACGACTATTTCACGGAACGTGATAATGTTGTCTTTCGATTTATAGTCGCTGCAACAGCGACGCAAAACTGCAAGTGATTTCAGGTTTTAACTTTGTTGACACGGAATGTTCCAAAAACGGAGCCATGTGTAGAGTGTGTTTTCATTCATGGAAGTGACTGTTTGGTATGAAGTTTTTGCATGGCGCATACACGATGCACAGGGAGAATTCTGTGCCGTCAGTATGGCCTGAACCTGCAGTGAGCAGTCAAAGTAGGTCATTAAACTGGCCTTCTGCGTTGAAGAGGCGTTGACCACATGCCGTCAGTTTGTGGATGCACGCTTATGCGAATGATTGCCCCTTGTTCCTACGTGGCAAAACAGAGTCCGAGTGCTTTCTAGTTTGCTTGTGAGCGCGAGTTTATATATTCCCGATGTGGATTGATGAGTTCACTCTTTGCCAATACATTTGCTCAAGTTTTACGATTGCAGTTTTGTAAATCGATAAGACCGAGCATGCGGATTTTGCCGATGGTTGAGGGATGTCATGATAGACGGGGATCTCGCTTCGGCTGCAAAAAGGATTGCCAAGACGACCGCATATCTTAGTCCACGAATTACGAGCTTGTGATGCGTGGGGCACAGGTTTGAGTCATTGACTGCAATGGTGTCAAACCAGCATGACGGGCACGCGGCAAGGCCTTCTGAAACGCCATTTTCTGAAGGGGGGTTTAGGGTTTAGGGTTTAGGGTTTAGGGGTTTAGGGGTTTAGGGTTTAGGGTTTAGGGTTTAGGGTTTAGGGTTTAGGGGTTTAGGGTTTAGGGTTTAGGGTTTAGGGTTTAGGGTTTAGGGTTTAGGGTTTAGGGTTTAGGGTTTAGGGCCATGGCTTCGGAAGTTTGCCAAAGCTAGACGAGCTGCTGAAGCATGGCGTGCCCTGCAACAAACTGCATGTGGCCGCACTCAATCCAAAATCATCGAACTGACACATGCTTGCGCCCAAACATTCCTCTGCAGATTTGTTGTCCTAGGGGTGCCCAATACAGGGTATGTTCCTGAAACCCTAACCCTATGAACCCTCGACCCTGAACTATGGGAAATTTTGGTCCTTGTGGGGTTTCTGTGAATGTCTTGTACGGGAAGGCGCAGAAGGGACCCGAAGCTGGGCTGCAGTCTTATACACATATTATGTAATATAGTTGAATATAATGCCAGATACACATACATCTATATACATATAGACTGGGGCTATGTGTTTTTTTGTTCGAGTTTGCTCTAGTCTGTTTTATTCCATTCTATTTCGACTAGTTATATAACAGCCAAGTAAATCTGCCGAAGCGCGTTCAATCAGTCAATTCCTGATGCATGTCGATTGGCCACCAATCTTTTCTGAGGACATACCCGATGGCACGGACATGAACACCTTTGGTGGCTTTGCCAAGTAATGTCAACCCCTGAGCCCTAAGCCTTAAACCCTAAGCCCTAAGCCATAAGCCTTACGCCCTAAGCCCTTAGCCCAAAACCCTAAACCCAAGTGTCCGGGCATGTATCCATCATTTTCCGACTCCACCTTCCTGGTTGCTCCTCAATGTGTAGGGTTTAGGGTTTAGGGTTTAGGGTTTGGGGTTTAGGGTTTCGGGTTTAGGGTTTAAAAGGTTATGGGTTAGAAAATCAGGAAGAGGGCCTTGTATGGTTTAGGGTAGCCAGGGTTCTACCCGGAGTTTATCCCACCATCTGTGACGCAATTCCCCCGAAACTCCAAGTTTCCTACGAGAACCCCTTAGACCCCAAAAGCGCCAAACCCAAGATGCGGTTCACCCTAAACGGGTTTAGGGTTTAGGGTTTAGGGTTTAGGGTTTAGCCCCAAACCCTAAACCCTAACCGATTTGCCCTCAGAATCTGGAGCTCTGGGCGTGTTGGGTGGTGCCATTCTGTCTACTCTACCGTCTGACTGAAAACATTGAAGGTACGTTTAATCCCACTTCTGCCAAAACCATCCGACAGTTGCGGCTCGAGGGCTGCTGCTTCGGCTTCAGTAGACGGTGCTTCAGTTTAGGGTTTAAGGTTCAGGGTTCAGGGTTCAGGGTTTAGGGTTTAGGGTTTAGGGTTCAGGGCTGAGGGTTTAGGGCATAGGGTTTAGGGCTTCACGTTGCAAAGCAAACCATCTAGATGGAGCTTTGAATCGCCCTTTGAGGGTTCACTGGATGGTCGGCTCACAAAGCCATGGTCGACAGGAGGCTTCAGCAAGAGATCAACCAAGCCGCAGCGAAGGGGCTGTCGGAGTTCACGGCTTTTCTGCAGGCCCATGTGGACGTTTTCTTTGGCGGTTGGTCCACCTATAACATCACTGCTGCTGTGCACAAGATGTGCCAGATGTCGAGGTATCAAAAAGGTGCACAAGTGCCTCGAGCCTGCGACACTTTGTGCAGGGTTGCAGTGACGTATGCCGCTCAACTTGATATCCGGCAGCTGAGTAACCTGCTCTTGGACTTTAGGTTGCTCAGTCAGTTCGAAGCCCTTGAGAGGCTTACCCCTCAGCTGCTTAAACGTCTGAGACACGACTTGCGCCAATTCAGCGGATGGGACTTGTCAAATGCCCTGTCTGGCTGTTCGTGTCCGGAATTGCTGGCTGACAGAACAGCCGCCCTTGCCTTCGAAGTTGCAGTGCATGAGCTTGCCCAATGTCGCTCGTCGTACTGGGCAACATGGAAATCTAAGGACATCGCCAACGTATGTTACGCCCTTGGTTTTTGGCGCCAAGCAGAGCCTAGTATTGTTGGGACTGCAGATGTCACAAATCTGCTGGGATGCATATGGACCAGGACAGAAGATTTGGAATCGGAGATCAGCTTGGAGGGATTTGTAAATGTGCTCTGGTGCATTTCAGAATTTCACATTGAGGGGCCATGGCTTTCCAAGCTGGTTTCAAGCTCACTGCGCATTTTCAAGCGATGTCGTTCCGATTTGACACCTCACATATTGAGCCGCTTTGCTGGTGCTTTGGCGGAGTTGTGTCGACGGCATGACCAACTGAATCCGCAGGATAGATCAAACGCCAAGAGGCATGTGAGCTCAAACCCCACTAGCCGTGATGAGCTTGAGTTTTTTCATATGGTTGCAGGGGAGGCCATGCATATGACATGGCCCCACACTAGGCGTGCAAGATTGGTTTGGGCTTTTGCATGCATGCGGCTGCGCCACGTCAGTCTGTTTGAACATGTGCTGGGGGAAAGCAGGTGGGAAACTTGTGTTGAAGATGACATTGCTGACATTTGCTGGGCTTTGGCAACCGTGCAGGCGGATTCGGAATGTACATCGAAAAGGTTCACGGACTTAATCCAAGAGCTGCAATCTCGTGAGCTCCCGCACTGGCTGTGGATAATGGTGCTGTGGTGCTTTGCGGTAGTTGGAATCACATTGCCCTTGCCTTTGCAAAATCATGTGCATGCATGCCTCCGCATACAGTGCCAAAACAAGGCAGATAAAGTGTGCAATGCTGTCGACATGCGCATGTTCTCCCAAGCCGTTACCGTATTGCGGCTACCAGAGAAGTTCAATGCCATTTTGCACGGTGCGACTTGTGAGGTTAATGCGGCGACACCCTCCAAATTCCAACAGCAAGTTGAACAAACCCTGTCGGATATGGGCTACAATGTGGAGCCAGAGACACAAGGCTTTGATTTGTTGCTCCGAGCTGAAGGAATTGCCATCGAGGTCAACGGACCATCGCATTATGCTGTCGATCTGCACGATTCGACCGTCCACGTTGAGCTGGGCCGCAGTCTGCTTCGAGAAAATGTGGCTCGCTGTTCTGGACTTCGCTTGGTGAAGGTACCTTTCTGGGACTGGGGCCATGCCATGAAGTATGGCGCCGGCGGGAGAAAGCAATACTTGGAAGGCAAAGTCGCCCAAGCACGCGAACAAGTCCCAGCAAGACCCAATGGGTGCCAAGAGGCGGCCCATACCCGGCAGCAAGAGGAGCAGGACTTTTGTGCAAAAAATTGCCCCTGCGATCGAGAAGGCCTACCAATCACATTGCCTTCAAGGCACTTTGTAAGGAATGATGTGGAAGGCTACATGCCAAAGGCTTGTGCTGCTGGGATAAAGAACCCAGAAATGGAGGAGAAGCTGATGGTTCCGCCTTGGTTGGCATCAACAATGCGACGGCATCGTGAAAAGCCAGCCCAAAAAGGACATCTGCCAACCTATCCGTGCCAAAAGTGAAGATCTCCCAAAATATCAAATCCAAATATAGATGTTTATCGAGTTGTTTGTCCAGAGTGAGCGCATCAAGGGAAGTATCAAGTCTATTTTTTTGATCCGAATGAAGATTGAGAGACACCCATAGCAACAATCGCAAAGCCTTTTTTTGGGCATTGCTTAGAAAATTGTTTGGCCGCTTGGCCGTGTGCCCAAATGACAAGAGATAGGGATCTTCTCTCATGCTTTTAGCCATGTGTTGTTGCCTGCCATCCAGCAAGCTTGCGCAAGGGGTGGCTTCATGTGAGTTTTGCAAGTTTGAGAGGTAGACGCTGGTGTTGTGCGTGCATCCAGGGCTTGTGCTCCGCATCTTGGCACCATCACGCAAGATAAGCAAGACGATGCGAGGTGTGAACAGAAACTTACCATGGAACAGCGTGGATGTTTGGTTGTACAGGCTCAGCCGACAAAGTTTTTGTGGGGGTTGGGGATCTGTGCGTTCGCGTCGTGCAGGTAGGCAGCTTGCGTCAGTGGCTCCCAAGTTTCGACGACCCACAGTTCGGCATAAATCGCTTGAAGGGCAGAAGCTGACTGCAGCATATCGGCCCCGCTAACCTTTCAGACTCGCTGCCATGGCATTCTGGTGGCTCTTCCTCTGCTGCTCCGTGACGGAGCAGACGCACAAAGAGGAGCAGGAGCCGCTTTTTTTCCTTCAACTCCCAAAACTGACTTGCCTCCGGGCGATAAGATGTCTGTTGCTTCTTTCAACTGAGCGGCACAGAGAGAGGAACCACCTGCAATTGCCCGCCACTGCAGGACACAGAAGATGTCCTCGATCCATATCTGTTCCGTGGAGGGCGCCCTCGCCTGGAAGAGCGTGTTGGCTTCTCAGTGAGTCCTCGCCTTGAGGGCCTATGGCTTCAGCTGTCCCGCAGCATTGCGCAAGATCGGCAAACCAGGGCTCTCAGACCCCACATCACAAAAACATCGAGAGCACACAAAGCCAGCTTCAAAGCCAAGCACCGTGAAACACTGCAAGCAGCCTCATGCTGAGCTCATGTCAAGTCAACCGTTTGCCACTGTCAGGTGCCTGCAACTCGTTGACGTGCAGGAGGATGCACAGCCCCAGCAGCCGCAGGCACGGTGCAAGCGTTCTTCCTTGGGCAAGGTTGTACTACATGGGGTTCCCAAAACCAGTCGCAGCAGGGGTGGGTTTGGTAAGAGTTTTGCTGATCTCGTTCGTGTTGCGACATATCAAGGCTAGTATCTAATTACTTGACAGGCCAAAAGGCAAAACCCGAACCCGCCTGCCGTGTGCGAGCATGAGTGATGTGTGCGAGCATGATGCCTTTGAAGACCCAAAACTTTCTCGGCAGGCCCCTGGAGCAGTGCTGGATACGCAGGACCGGAAGGACTGCGCGGCTGTGATCCTCTTCGACCATGTTTCACCACAGTACTCCGGGCGCCGGACCCCCGCGAGCGACATAGCCGCGGGGTCGACCTCTGGTTGCCAGAAAGTGATCATCTTCCTCACAAATCTCGGCTCAGGAGCCGACACCTCGGTGGCGAAGCGACGGTCCTGCGAAAACCGTGGGATTTTGTGCAATGTCCCGGACGGGTCGGATCTGAGCCTCATCATGGCCAGCTACTACAAGTACTTCGCGACGGGGCAGGAGACCTGCCAGCCTTCTTTCACGAGATACAAGGACGCGGTCACAAGCACAAGGCTATGTCACATGTCCAGTCTGCCTACCAGCGCACCAGTGGCAGCGGGCCCCCGACTCTTGTCACAGGCATGGACCTCAACATGATATCGCGGGCTCCGAGTGGTGCTGCACGAGCCAATGTACTTGGTGTTGCAAGGCGCTTGCTGGGCGTTGTGCTGTTGCATGTTTTTCACTTCTTCTTCTTCTTCTTCTTCTTCTGAGTTTTTTGGACGTAGTCCTGTTTGCAATGGCCCTGTTTTAGGAAATGTTTCCAGGGGGGGGGGGCTGCGTCAGTTACGGATGGTTTCGTGGAGATCTTGGGGGGTCGGACATGTTACCAAGAGAACCCCCCGTGCCCCCCCCCAGGCTTTGTAACATTTTGGCTTGTGTGTCTTGCCCACACAAAGACCTAAACCTACATCCTGTAGTTCTCTGTCTCTTCCATGTCTCTTATGTGTTACACGGATTGTGGGGTGGGTTTGCATGATTCTTTGGCCGTATTGTGCGCCTGAATTTGTTGCCGCACCTTTCTTCCTGCAGTGCTTTCCACACAGCGTTTCTAAGTTTGTGCCGCTTGCATCTGAGAGATGTGGTGTTTGGCATGTGTTCCGGTTGGATCTCCCAGTCCGCCGACCTAGACATTTTACACATGCTTCCCCATCATTGCAGCTTCTGCCATGACGTGTAGGAGCTTGGTGAACGTCGCAATGTTATGAAACGATATGAAGCGAGAGGGGGGCACAGGTCGGTCGGTTTCTTTGAGATGTCGGGGGTTGTGATCCCTGCATTACCCACGGGAGTTTGCATTGCGGCATTGCGGTCCGGATGAGTAACACATGCGAGTGCAGGTGTGGCATCGCAGAATACGTGAGGTGCGGAGGTGCGCGGTGAGTGGCTGTGCTTTGCTGTGCTTTCAGTCACGAGATCGGCAGGTTCAGTTGCTGCCGTTCAGGTTGTTGCTTTTGCTCTCATCAGTCCGTAAGCATGGCCCCCTTGGAGGTTCTGCACGGGATGGCTTCGCGGTCATGATTCAGACCTCGGACCTACTTGGTGGGCTTTCTGGCTCAGTGCGAGATCATGATCGGGAGTGGCATAAAGTGCAGAGCAGGCGCAGGCCATCTCTACGAACAGTGACGTTGATGCGTAGCCGACGTAGCCGTTTTTGTATTGCAGCAGAGGTAGCAACTTCGGAGGGGCTTGCGCTGCAAGAGGTGCTCCTACGTGTTCCTCGCCCTCTGCGTCTTCGGCATCTTGATTTGCGAGCAGCACTGCAAGCGTATCCCGCCTTTTGCCTGCCGGACTCCATCTCCGGTGCAGCTGGGCGTGGATGTGGGGTGTGGAAGATAGATGCTGCGGCCCTGGCGGCGGAGTCATGTGGCTCAATGTAGCTCATGTGGCTCTGGCACACCAGGAGCCCATCCCCTTCGACGGGAGGAACTCAGGCCGCGCCTGGCGTCATCCTGTAAACTGCGCAGAACTGAAAACACCTAAAACACGACGTGCCACCAGCCATCACCAAAGACCGCCTTGTGGAGCAGGGCGCCTCCTCGCAGCTCCGGGCCAAAGGTAAATTCGCCCAGTCGACAGCGCCAGGAGCACAAAAAGGCTGCCGCTCTGCCTCTTTTCACCTTCTCTTTTCACACGAAAACCCTGAACCCTCACGAAAAGTACGAGAGTGCCTAGGGCCTAGTGTTCGAATGCTTGTGGCGACTGGTGGTGCAGGAAAGAAAATCTACAAGATCTACAAGTGAGCGTAGTTTTGTGCAAGTCTCACGCTACGCGGATCGCCTCGGCCAGGGCCCATGTATCAGCTCCGCCAAGTTGGGGCAGGGTCGGGGCGGGGGGTGGGGGGGGGGGGGGGGGGGGGGAGGAGGAGGGAGGGGGTGGGAGAGAACAATCATTGACCTAGACCTGCAAGATTCACGTGAAGCCGCCCACTGCGCCCCTGGTTCTCAAGCTTGCTGGATGGCAGGCAACAACACATTGGCAAAAAGAATGAGAAAAAAACACTATCGCTGGTCATTTGGGCTCGTGGCTAACTTCGTTGAAGAGGCGCAGCAGACTCTGGGGGGCTCAGATGGGCAGCTTGCGCCAACGGCGCCCCCCACACAAATCGCTTTATATAAGGCTGCGTTGCGCCACGGCTTTCATGCTCTTGAACATTTATGGCCCTTTAAGCAAAAGCCAGCCTGATCTGGGCCGGGTGTTTCGGGAACCTGGGACCTCGCAATCTTTGTGAGGGGGAACCGCACCGCAATACAAAGACATGCCAAGGGGCCGCCCACATCACCAGTTGCGTGCCTCACACAAGCAAAAAAGGGTGAGGCCTGTCGTTCAGGCTGCAGCTTTGGACAGCCTGTTGCGTTTCAGAATTCTGGTGAAGTGGGCAGCACTTGCTACCCCCCTCCTTCTTGAGATGCCCTTGACACGGGCAACGACATGTCTCTCTCTCTCTCTCTCTCTGTCGCCTTGCTTCGATGCCGCGTGTCCTCGTGGACGTGGAGGAACTGAAGCTGACTGCAGCATTTCGGCCCTCGCTTACCTTTCCAAATCGCTGCCATGGCGTTTTGGTGGCTTTTCTTGTGCTGCTCCGTGACGGAGCAGACGTACACAGACGAGAAGGAGCCGCTTCTTTTTGTACTTGCATCCAGAACTGACTGACACTAAGATGGGTATTTTGCAAACACCAAGTGGCACCAATAGGAACCAGCTGAAACTGCTCTCCACTGTAGGACACAGAGGATGTCCATGATCCTTACCTTTTTCGTGGAGGGCGACCTCGCCTGGAAGAGCGTGTTGGCTTCTCAGTGAGTTCTCGCCATGAGGGCCTAAGCCTTCAGCTGTCCGGCAACATTGCGCAAGATCGGCAAACCATGGCTCCCAGACCCCACATCACAAGAAACTCGAGAGCACACGGCACCAGCTTTAAAGCCAAGCACGATTAAGCACTGCAAGCAGCCGCATGCTGAGCTCATGTCAAGTCATGTCAGGGGCCTCCACTACGTTGAGGCGCAGGAGGATGCACAGCCCCAGCAGCCGCAGGCACGGTGCAAGCGTTCTTCCTTGGGCAAGGTTGTACTACATGGGGTTCCCAAAACCAGTCGCGGCAGGGTTTTGGTAAGAGTTTTGCTTGTCTCGTTCGTGTTGCGACATATCAAGGCTAGTATTGATTACTTGACAGGCCAAAAGGCAAAACCCGAACCCGCCTGCCGTGTGCGAGCATGAGTGATGTGTGCGAGCATGATGCCTTTGAAGACCCAAAACTTTCTCGGCAGGCCCCTGGAGCAGTGCTGGATACGCAGGACCGGAAGGACTGCGCGGCTGTGATCCTCTTCGACCATGTTTCACCACAGTACTCCGGGCGCCGGACCCCCGCGAGCGACATAGCCGTGGGGTCGACCTCTGGTTGCCAGAAAGTGATCATCTTCCTCACAAATCTCGGCTCAGGAGCCGACACCTCGGTGGCGAAGCGACGGTCCTGCGAAAACCGTGGGATTTTGTGCAATGTCCCGGACGGGTCGGATCTGAGCCTCATCATGGCCAGCTACTACAAGTACTTCGCGACGGGGCAGGAGACCTGCCAGCCTTCTTTCACGAGATACAAGGACGCGGTCACAAGCACAAGGCTATGTCACATGTCCAGTCTGCCTACCAGCGCACCAGTGGCAGCGGGCCCCCGACTCTTGTCACAGGCATGGACCTCAACATGATATCGCGGGCTCCGAGTGGTGCTGCACGAGCCAATGTACTTGGTGTTGCAAGGCGCTTGCTGGGCGTTGTGCTGTTGCATGTTTTTCACTTCTTCTTCTTCTTCTTCTGAGTTTTTTGGACGTAGTCCTGTTTGCAATGGCCCTGTTTTAGGAAATGTTTCCAGGGGGGGGGGGCTGCGTCAGTTACGGATGGTTTCGTGGAGATCTTGGGGGGTCGGACATGTTACCAAGAGAACCCCCCGTGCCCCCCCCCAGGCTTTGTAACATTTTGGCTTGTGTGTCTTGCCCACACAAAGACCTAAACCTACATCCTGTAGTTCTCTGTTTCTTCCATGTCTCTTATGTCGTACACGGATTGTGGGGTGGGTTTGCATGATTCTTTGGCCGTATTGTGCGCCTGAATTTGTTGCCGCACCTTTCTTCCTGCAGTGCTTTCCACACAGCGTTTCTAAGTTTGTGCCGCTTGCATCTGAGAGATGTGGTGTTTGGCATGTGTTCCGGTTGGATCTCCCAGTCCGCCGACCTAGACATTTTACACATGCTTCCCCATCATTGCAGCTTCTGCCATGACGTGTAGGAGCTTGGTGAACGTCGCAATGTTATGAAACGATATGAAGCGAGAGGGGGGCACAGGTCGGTCGGTTTCTTTGAGATGTCGGGGGTTGTGATCCCTGCATTACCCACGGGAGTTTGCATTGCGGCATTGCGGTCCGGATGAGTAACACATGCGAGTGCAGGTGTGGCATCGCAGAATACGTGAGGTGCGGAGGTGCGCGGTGAGTGGCTGTGCTTTGCTGTGCTTTCAGTCACGAGATCGGCAGGTTCAGTTGCTGCCGTTCAGGTTGTTGCATTTGCTCTCATCAGTCCGTAAGCATGGCCCCTTGGAGGTTCTGCACGGGATGGCTTCGCGGTCATGATTCAGACCTCGGACCTACTTGGTGGGCTTTCTGGCTCAGTGCGAGATCATGATCGGGAGTGGCATAAAGTGCAGAGCAGGCGCAGGCCATCTCTACGAACAGTGACGTTGATGCGTAGCCGACGTAGCCGTTTTTGTATTGCGGCAGAGGTAGCAACTTAGGAGGGGCTTGCGCTGCAAGAGGTGCTCCTACGTGTTCCTCGCCCTCTGCGTCTTCGGCATCTTGACTTGCGAGCAGCACTGCAAGCGTATCCCTCCTTTTGCCTGCCGGGCTCCGTGTCCGGTGTGGAAGATCGATGCTGCGGCCCGGCGGCGGAGTCATGTGGCTCAATGTAGCTCATGTGGCTCTGGCACGCCAGGGAGCCCATCCTCTTCGACGTGTCTCCGGAGGACAAGCGCGAAGATGCGCGAGGTACTCCATACTACGCAGGACTGAAGGGGCACGTAACGGCACCAGACACTGCAGCACCAAAAACCGCCTTGTGGAGCAGGGCGCTTCCTCGCAACTTAGGGCCAAAGGTAGATTTGCCCACTCGACAGCGCTAGGAGCCCAAAAAGGCTGCCGTTCTGCCTCTTTCCACCTTTTCTTAGCACTACGCGGATCGCCTCGGCCAGGGCCTGCGCATCAGCTCCCCAAAAGCATACATGCAGGCAGCGCCGGCGAGGGTTGCAGCCGGGTTGGGGCAGGCAATGTGCACCATAGGAAAGGTGTGTGTGCGTGTGTGTGTTGTGTGTGTGTGTGTGTGTGTTTGTTTGTTTGTTTGTTTGTTTTTTTCTTGCGTGTGTGTGTGTGTGTGTGTCTCTCTCTCTCTGTCCGTATTTGCTGTGCTTGCCAGACTTGCTTCGATGCCGCAAGAGGAATTGAATCTGACTGCAGCATATTGGCCCCGCTTACCTTTTCAGACTCGCTGCCATGGCGTTTTGGTGGCTCTTTTTGTGCTGCTCCGTGACGGAGCAGACGCACACAGACGAACAGGAGCCGCTTTTTTCTTCAACTTGCATCCGGAACTCACTTGCCAGCGGGCGATAAGATGTCTGTTGCTTCTTTCAACTGAGCGGCTCAGAAACAGGAACCAGCTGAAATTGCCCGCCACTGCAAGACACAGAGGATGCTCTCGACCCTTACCTCTTCCGTGGAGGGCGCCCTCGCCTGGAAGAGCGTGTTGGCTTCTCAGTGAGTTCTCACCATGAGGGCCTATGGGCCTATGTCTTCAGCTGTCTGGCAACATGTGCACAAGATCGGCAAACCCCAGACCCCACATCACCACATCACAAGAAACTCGAGAGCACACGGCGCCAGCTTTAAAGCCAAGCACGGTGCGGCACTGCAAGCAGCCGCATGCTGAGCTCATGTCAAGTCAACCGTTTGCTGTCAGGGGCCGCCACTCCGTTGATGCGCAGGAGGATGCACAGCCCCAGCAGCCGCAGGCACGGTGCAAGCGTTCTTCCTTGGGCATGGCAATGGTTGCAGACTCTGCTGCAAGCTCGTGCGGGGCACCTTAAATTACTTTGACCAGTGCGAAACACAGGCTTGGCAGAGGAACCCGAACAAAAGGGCAAACGGCATACACTACATATACTACATGGGGTTCCCAAAACCGGTCGCAGCAGGGGTAGGTTTAGTAAAGTAAGAGCTTTGCTTGTCTCGTTCTTGTTACGACATGTCGAGGCTAGTTACTTGACAGCCCAAAAATCAAGTTCGAACCCGCGCGCCGTGTGCGAGCGTGAGTGACGACAAACCCTCACCCTTTGAAGACCCAAACCTGCCCGGCAGGCGACTGGAGCAATGCTGGATACCCAGGACTGGAAGGCCTGCGTGGCTGTGATCCCCTTCGACCATGTATCACCGAAATACTCTGGGCGCCTGACCCCGCGAGCGACACCAATCGCAGCAGCATCAAGAGATGGCTGAATTTCAGCCATCTCTTGATGCCGCTGCGGTTGGTGTCGCTCGCGGTGGATGGCGTCGAAGATCGATGCTGTGACCGTGGCGGCGGAGTCACGTGGCTCAGTGTCTCTGGCACGCCAGGAGCCCATCCCCTTCGACGTGTCTCTGGAGGACAAGCGCGAAGATGTGCGAGGTACTCCATACTACGCAGGACTGGAGGGCAGGTAACGGCACCAGGCCACCAGCACCAAAGACCGCCTTGTGGAGCAGGGTGCCTCTTCGGAACTCAGGGCCAAAGGTATGCCAAAGATAGATTTGCCCACTCGACAGCGCCAGGAGCCCAAAAATGCTGCCGTTTTGCCTCTTTCCGCCTTTTTCTTTCACACGAAACCCTGAACCCTCACGAAAAGTACGAGAGTGCCTCGGGCCTAGGGTTCGAATGCTTGTGGGCGCCTGGTGGCGCAGGACAGAAAAACTGCAAGTGAGCCTGACTTGCCACGCCAGGCGGATCGCCTCGGCCAGGGCCCGCGCATCAGATACCCTAAATCCTCAGGCCAAAATCCTAAACCCTAAGCCCTAAGCCCTAAACCCTAAACCCTAAACCCTGAACCCTAAACCCCTAAACGCTGAACTGTCGTCGAAGCGTTGCGGGTCCTGCGTTGCGCAGTCGGCCTCCTGAGTCTCTAAAGGTTCATAGGGTTCGGCATTGAGGGTTTGCAGGGTTTTCGGTTTAGGGTTTAGGGCTTCGGGTTTAGGGTGTAGGGCCTGAGGTTTGAGACTGGGGGAGCTGTGCATCAAATCAGATAGCAGAGGTTCAGAGAACATGAGGTGTTCAGATGGAGAATCTGGCTCGGGCCATGTTTGTTCAAAGTCACATTGCGCATCTTCGAGAATGCGCAATCTGAGCTGCCTGACATCTTACCGAGCCCTAGACCCTCTATAGACCCTCAGCCCCAGGCCCTAAACCCTAACCCCCAAACCCCCAAACCCTAAACCCTAAACCCCAAGCCCCTCAACCCTAAACCCTAAACCCTCAGCCTCCAAAGCTCAGGCATCCTATAGCGCCTTGGGCAAGCGGCAGAAATTATGAGCCGAAGGGTTTAAGGGTTGAGCGTTTCGGGTTTGGGCTTTAGGGTTTGGGTTTTAGGGCTTAGGGTCTAGGATTTGGGATTCGGGGTTTGTAGGGTTTGGGGTGTAGGGTTTGTGGTGTTTAGGGTTTAGGGTTTGAGGTTTGGGTTTAGTGTTGATGGTTTGTAGGGCTTTTTAGGGTTTAGGGCTCGTAGTGTTGAAAGGGCTTAGAGCTTAGGGCTTGGATTTTGATCACAAGGTTCCGCAGTAGCGGTCTACGAGAACTGCTTCAGTTGCATCAGAATGGCAGCAGTGGAGCAAGTCAAACACTCCTACTCGTAGCCGATGTCTTCATGAAGATATGAAATGCGTAGGCCGTGGAGAACAAGCCATGAGTGCTGTGGGGTTCATGAAAGGCGTATTCGGGCATGGGCTCATAGATTCAGGTTTAGGGATTAAGGTTTATGCGCAGTTTACGTCTGGCAACAACTAGTGGGCAAGACTCTGAGCTCAAGCCTCCGGTGATAGGAAGCAGTTCAGCGCGTGCCAGAGCTTTCGTTCGGGCCCCGAGATGGCAATGGATGATGAGCAAGACGAGTCCAGGTTTAGACACCGCGCCCAAGCTGGCCTCGCACGACTCGATGCAGGTTACAATTACATCTTCGTGAGGCACAACCCACTTTCCTGTTTTCAGGCCTGTGTCCTCTCCAGCTGCGTGCTTCTCATTGGCCTCGTCCTGGCGGTGTGGGCTGTGGGCCACGGAGTCGCGCTGGGCGCCACGGCCTTGGACCACTTCATAGACCCCGAGGAAGTCCGTGTCCACGGCCCTGACTCCTTTGTCGCGCGGCTGCAGAATCATAGCGCCATGCCAGAGAGCTGCACTCGCGTGGTGCCCACGGACGCGGTGGAGACGGCTGCCGTGGCCAAGGAGTGCTTGGCGTGGTGTCGAGACAGCCTGGGTCCCGGATGCGGCTTTCCTTTCGCCTTCAGTCCTCTGCATTGGAGGTGGATGAGGCAGGCAGGCGAGGGTGTGGAGACCAGCTTCAAGATGTGCTGGAAAGTGGAGACAGCTGCTTGGGCCTTGGGCTGGTGCCCATCCGACTGGCAGATGTACGTGGCTGTTGCGCTCTACGGCAGTGTCAGCGGCATCGCGTTCTTCTGCTTCCTCCGGAAGAACTGGGAGGAAGAGTCCGAGTCAGAAGAGTCGGACGACTCGGCGTCCGAACACCTCCGGGGTCCTGGGCGCCCGGACTTCCTCGCGCCCGATGATGAGGGCTTCGAAGATGGAAGCCCATTTGCTGCCTCTAGGCGATATAGGCCACCCTTTTGCTGCATTCCCATCGACTCCGACTATGAGGGTGCAAAGTGCCAGCTGCGCCAGCTGAGCTTCTTCATGCTCTTCGAGCCCGCGCTGGATGTTCTGTCCATCCTCATGTTTCTACGGAGGGGCCAGCCCATCTACGCAGCGGTGGCTAGCATCTCGGTTGCCATCTCCTGCTTGCTGGAACAGGACCTCTTCCAGATCCGGGGTGCGGCCGCGGCGGCCGCAAGCCTAGGAAGGGGCTTTGCGACGCCCGCTCTGTACCAGCACCAGCTGCTTGAGATCGTGGAGAGCTCTGGGTCCACGATTGTGCAGTGCTACGCGGCCCTGCGGATGGACCTGTCCTGCGCAACGCTGCCCACGGTTTGCACGCTGATCGCGGGCGCAGGCAGCAGCCTCTTGCTCTCTCTGCCGCAAGCTGTGAGAGCCGCCTATGTCCTCATGAGCAGGAACGTCAACAACTACTACGAGCAGGAAAGGCACAAAGCAGCTGTGTTAGTTTTTTGGAGGTATGGGCCCTCCGTGCTGTGCATGTCGATTGCCGAGCTAGCACTGATTCTCGGACGGCACAACGACGGTCAGCTTTCGTCCCCATGGTCGCTGCTCTGGGAGATGCCTGGTTGGGAGCTTCGTCTTTCAGCCCTTTTCCTGCTGCTCTTCCGCGTTGCCGTGCTCTGTGGCCTCGTGCTGGGTATTTCTGCATCTTGCCTGATATGCGGGTTCATGTGCTTTTGGAGCCACTTCCTGGATGAGTGGGGAGGTTGAGGAAAGCGGTCATCTTCCTCACAAATTTTCTCGGCTCAGGAGCCGACACCTCGGTGACGAAGCGATTGCGAAAACCGTGGGATTTTGTGCAATGTCCCGGACGGGTCGGATCTGAGCCTCATCATGGCCTGCTACTACAAGTACTTCGCGACGGGGCAGGAGATCTGCCAGCCTTCTTTCACGAGATGCAGGGATGCGGACGCAAGCACAAGGCTATGTCCAGTCTTACCAGCGCATGACACGGTGGCAGCGGACCCCGCCTCCTGGGCATCACAGGCATGGACCTCAACAGTGCTGCAAGAGCCAATGTACTCGGTGTTGCAAGGCGCTTACTGAAGGTTTTGATGTTGCATTTCTTTCAGTCTTCCTCTGTGTTTTTTGGACGTAGTCCCCTTTGCATTATTTCGCAGGGACGAGGGTCTTGCCACATCATCAGCAATGACATTCTGAAGCTTTGCCCGTATTATTTGGCCGTATCGTGCTCATGATTTGTTTACCTTACCGCACAGCGTTTCTAAGTCTATGCCACTTACATCTGAGAGATGTGGAGTGTGTTTGGCATGTATTCGGGTTGGATTTCCCATTCCAACGGCCTAAACATTTTATGGACACAGGCTTCCCTGTTATTGCAGCTTACGCCATGATGTGTAAAAGAGAGCTTGGTTAAGCTCGCAATGTTTTCAAACGATATCAAACGAGACTGATGAGTTTTTGCAGTCCAAAACATGCATGCGCGTGCACGAGTGGCATCGCAGAAGCCGTGAGGTGTGGAGGTGCGCGGTGCGTGGCTGTGATATGATGTGATTTCAGTCACGAGATCTGCAGGTTGTTGTTGCTGTTCAGGTTGTTTTCATCAGTCCGTAGCATGGCACACGTGGAGGTTCCGCACGGGATGGCTTCCTGGACATGATTGAGACCTCGGATTTACTTGGTGGGCTTTCTGGCTCAGTGCGATCATGATCGGGAGTGGCATAAAGTGCAGAGCAGGCGCAGGCCATCTCTGCGAACAGTGATGTGACGTTGATGCGCAGTCCGCGTAGCCGTTGTTGTATTGCAAGCAGCAGATATTTTGCAACTTAGTAGGAGCTTGCCTTGCAGGAGGTGCTCCTACGTGTTCCGCGCCGTTTGCGTCGCCTTCGGCAGCTTGTGAGCAGCACAGCAAGCGGATTCGCATTTTGCCTGCCGGACTCCGCCCCCCCGGCACAGCTGCGCGGGGGTCCGGCTCGTAGATGTGGGTGTCGAAGATAGATGCTGCGGCCCGGCGGCGGAGTCACGTGGCTCAATAATGTGGCTCTGGCGTACCACGAGCTCATCCCCTTCGACGTGTCCCTGGGCAGAGGCACGAGGAGGAACTCAGGGCCGCGCCTGGCGTCACCATACTACGCAAGACTGAGAGGCACCAGGCCCCCGGCACCAAAGACCGCCTTGTGGAGCAGGGTGTCTCCTCGCAGCTCAGGACCAAAGGTAGATTTGGCCCAGCGCCAGGAGCCCAAAAAGGCTACAAGTAGCTTTCTGCCTCTTTCCACCTTTTCTTGAACCCTTTACGAAAAGTACGAGAGTGCCTAGGGTTCGAATGCTTGTGGGGGATTGGTGGCTAGCCATTGAAAAAAAACAAAGTACAAGTGATCGTAATTTGAACGCCACGCGGATCGCCTCGGCTAGGGCCTGCGCATCCGCTCCCCAAAAAGCATACATGCAGGTAGTGCCGGCTAGGGTGCCGCCAGGCCGTGAGCCCAAATGACAAGTGGTAATCGTGATCTTTTCTCATTCTTTTAGCCAGGTGTGGTTGTCTGCCATCCAGCAGGCTTGCGCAACGGGCGGCTTCACGTGAGCTTTTGCAGGTCTTGAGAGGTATATCTTGGCACCATCACGCAAGACAAGCAAGACGATGCGAGGTGCGAACAGAAACTTACCATGGAACAGTGCGGATGTTGGGTTGTACAAACGAAGCGGACAAAACCTCTGCGGGGTGGGGATCTGCGGAGGCTCGTGCATTAGCACTTTGTTCATGTTGCAGATGGGCAGCTGGCGCAGTCCCACATCAATCGCTTGAAGAGCTGAAGCTGACTGCAGCATATCGGCCCCCGCTGACCTTTGCAGAATCGCTGCCATGGATATTTGGTGGCTGTTCCTGTGCTGCTCCGTAACGGAGCAGACGTGCAAAGAGGAGCAGGAGCCGCTTTTTTTCTTCAGCTCCCAAAACTGACTTGCCTCCGGGCGATAAGATGTTTGCTGCTTTCAACTGAGCGGCACAGAAAGAGGGACCAGCTGAAATTTCCCTCCTCGGCAGGACACAGAGGATGTCCTCGATCCATATCTGTTCCGTGGAGGGCGCCCTCGCCCGGAAGAGCGTGTTGGCTTCTCAGTGAGTTCTCACCATGAGGGCCTATGCCTTCAGCTGTCCGGCAACATGTGCACAAGATCGGCAAACCAGGGCTCCTAGACGCCACATCACAAGAACATCGAGAGCACATGGCTCCAGCTTTATTGACAGCTCAGAAGGCAAAACCTTGACCTGCCTGCTGCGTGCGAGCGTGAGCGACGAAGAACCTTGAACCTTTGAAGACCCAAAACTTGCCCGGAAGGCGACGTTAAGCAGTGCTGGATGCGCAGGCCAAGAAGGACTGCGCGGCTGTGATCCTCTTCAACCATGGTGTTTCACCGACATTCTCCGGGTGCCTGACTCCTGCGAGCGACATAGCCGCGGGGTCGACCTCCATGTGCCAGAAAGCGGTCCCCCTCACGTTACATATGGCTCAGGGAGCCGACGCCTCGGTGACGAAATCAAATCGTCCTGCGAAAACCGTAGGATTTTCTGCACTGTCCGGGACGGATCGGATCTGAGCCTCATCTTGGCTAGTTACTGTGAGTACTTCGCGCCACAGGGCAGGAGATCTGCCAGCCTTCTTTGGCAAGCTACAGTGACGCGGTCACAAGCACAAAACTATGTGTAGTGTGGCTACCAGCGCATGACGCAGTGGCAGTGGAATCCCGATGCTTGGGCGTCACATGCATGGACCTCAACTGATCGCGGGCTCCGAGTGGTGCTCCGTCCCTTGGTGCAGCTGCGGGGTCCGGCTCGTGGATGTGGTGAGTGATTATTGGCGGCGGAGTCACGTGGCTCAATGTGGCTCATGTGGCTCTGGCACGCCAGGAGCCCATCCTCTTCGACGTGTCTCTGGAGGACAAGCGTGAAGATGCGTAAGGTACTCCGGACGACGCAGGACTGGAGGGCGCATAAGATTTGCCCAGTCGACAGCGCCAGGAGCCCAAAACAGGCTAGCGGTCTGCCTCTTTCCACCTTGTCTTTTCGCACGCAACCCTGAACCCTCACGAGAACTACGAGAGCGTCTTGGGGCTCTTTGTGCAGAACAGCGAGAATATCCAGGGTTGACCCCGTTAGAAGGAGCATGAAGGAGCCATTGAAGAAAACACAAGTGATCGTAATTTTCACGCTGCGCGGATCGCCTCGGCCAGGGCCTGCGCATCAGCTCGCCAAAAATCATACATGCAGGCAGCGCCGGCGAGGGTGCCGCAAGGCCGTGAGCCATCGTGAGCCCAGATGACAAGTGATGGTGATCTTCCTCATGCTTTTAGCCATGTCTTGTTGTCTGCCATCCAGCAAGCTTGCGCAACGGGCGGCTTCACGTCAGTTTTTGCAGGTCTTGAGAGGTAAACGGTGGTGTTGTGCGTGCGTCCAGGGCTTGTGTGCTCCGCGTTGTGGCACCATCGCGCAAGATAAACAAGACGATGCGAGGTGCGCAAAGAAACTTACCATGGAACGGCGTGGATGTTTGCTTGTACAGACTCAGCAGACAAAGCCTCTGGGGGTGGGGATCTGCGGACGCTCGTGCATCAGCACCCTGTTCATGTTGCAGATGGGCAGCTTGCGTCAGTGGCGCCCAGGTCTCGACAACCCACACTCCCACACAAATCGCTTGAAGAGCTGAAGCTGACTGCAGCATATCGGCCCCCGCTGACCTTTTCAGAATCGCTGCCATGGATATTTGGTGGCTGTTCCTGTGCTGCTCCGTAACGGAGCAGACGTGCAAAGAGGAGCAGGAGCCGCTTTTTTTCTTCAACTCCCAAAACTGACTTGCCTCCGGGCGATAAGATGTCTGTTGCTGCCTTCAACTGAGCGGCACAGAAAGAGGAACCAGCTGAAATTTCCTCCACAGCAGGACACAGAGGATGCCCTTGATCCATATCTGTTCCGTGGAGGGCGCCCTCGCCTGGAAGAGCGTGTTGGCTTCTCAGTGAGTTCTCGCCTTGAGGGCCTATGGCTTCAGCTGTCCGGCAGCATTGCGCCACCGTGAAACACTGCAAGCTGCATGCTGAGCTCATGTCAAGTCAACCGTTTGCCACTGTTAGGGGCCGCCACTCCGTTGAGGCGCAGGAGGATGCACAGCCCCAGCAGGCACGGTGCAAGCGTTCTTCCTTGGGCATGGCAACAGTTCCAGAATGTGCTGCAAGCTAGTGTGGGGCACTTAAAATTACGTTGACCAGTGAACAAAAGGGCAAACCACATAGACTACATGGGGTTCCCAAAAGCGGTCGTAGCAGGGGTGGGTTTAGGAAGAGCTTTGCTTGTCTCGTTCTTGTTACGACATTTCAAGGCTAGTACTTGACAGCTCAAAAGGCAAAACCTTGACGTGCTTGCCGCGTGCGAGCGTGAGCGACGAAGAACCTTGAACCTTTGAAGACCCAAAACTTGCCCGGCAGGCGACGTTAGCAGTGCTGGATGCGCAGGCCAAGAAGGACTGCGCGGCTGTGATCCTCTTCAACCATGGTGTTTCATCGACATTCTCCGGGTGCCTGACTCCTGCGAGCGACATAGCCGCGGGGTCGACCTCCATGTGCCAGAAAGCTGTCCCCCTCACGTTTACATATGGCTCAGGGAGCCGACGCCTCGGTGAGGAAACGTCCTGCGAAAACCGTAGGATTTTCTGCACTGTCCGGGACGGATCGGATCTGAGCCTCATCTTGGCTAGTTACTGTGA